CCACCAATGAACAAAGATAAATATATAGTCCTATTAAAGGTAAGCATGTGCTTATGAGCTTCACTAAATTTTGGATAATGAGAGATTCAGCCTATGGGTACAAAGGTATCAGAGAAGATGCCTAGGGACCTGTTTACCCTTTGCTCATTATTTGTATTATTTCTGAGGGCTACAGATACTGCTGCTTGTTATCCACTCCACTGACATTTCCTACTTGTCTTTCCAAGTGCTGCTAAAAAGAAAAGCTGAGATTTTGGAACACTAGTGAGTGCCAGTGATTGAATTCCATAGCCCCAGGACTGTGGATGAGGAGAGCCCAGCATATAAAGAGGGGGGACATGTGGCATTTCCCAGTTTCTCAGGATAGCAGAGGAGAGAGGGAGAAAATAGACATTTTCTAGCAAACTAGAGTATGATATTGAAAAGTATGCTTAACACCAAAAATGAAAGAAAACTACATTTTCATGATTCATCAGTCAAAATGGACAGGAAAGGATTAGATCTCGGAGGCAGGAGAGACTCAGATTAGAAAACTCTATAAATTTGCTTACTCTCCAGAAAGATTGTGTGACATGGTTGTTTTGATTCTATAAAACATGCTTCTTGTAACCAAAGGCTGTGCTCCCTGGCAAGAGCAATATTTCCAGCTCCCCACTAACAGAAGCGTACTGCCACTTCTGATAAGCAATCTGCCTTGTTGTAGAGGGTTTCTGATGCAGAAAGTGCATCTGTAGTGTCTTCCCCCAAGGCTCTTGTCACTGCAGCCAAGATTTAGCCTTAGCATTAATACTGATTTGCTCTACATTTTTATCAGTTTTTAATTTTTAATGTGTTTCATTTCCACTCACAGATTCTGCTAAATTTACATGATCCTATGCTGAGAGAATAAAATCTGAAGGTAATTTTTGTGTGTCAGAGGTTCCTTTGTTCCTCCTCAAATACAGTCCTGACTTTTAGGGTCATTTGTCAGAGGAGTGATGTCATGGTAAAATATAGATTACCTTCAGATTTCCAGTAGATTAGCAGAGTAACTACGGAACCAACACAGCTGAAAGCTGAAGTACTGACCTCAATAAATTACCTGTCCTAGCAGCTGTAACTTTTGCTGCCTACCATTCTGCTCAGTGTTTTGCCATCTCCACTGGCTTCATGAGTTTTGTGGTTTTCCTCCAGCATGTTCATGTCCAGCAGTCAGATCCAGAGTTTACTGATAACATTATGAAAACCCTTAAGTGTTAACATGAGGATGCAGTCTTGTGAAGCACTTGTTTATTTGCAGGATGTAGTCTCTTGAAGCATCTGCTTCCAAGGGGACAATGGAGGTTTTTGCTGGGATCATCAAATCCTTTAAGTCATTGCTACATTTCAAATAGGATGTACAAAGTCTGCAGATAAGAATCTCAAGAATTTTAGAATTTTGGAAGGAATTCAGCAGACCTCAACTAGAAGATCCTACAGTTTTCCACTGTGTTCAGTCTTCTCACAGTATCAGAGGAGCCTGCAATTTTATTGGGATACATCCTGTCCCGCTGAATTTTGACAGAAAAGGCTTAAGGCAGATACTTTATGTTATTGCAGTTCACTGAGTGCCTTTTGGTGCCTGACTTGGACTGAAAACAGTATTTTGCCATCCTACTCTGCCAAATGGGAAACTTTACTTGATGCCAAATAGACCTCTTCATTTTGTAGTCAATATTTTGCTGTGATTTTTGACACTGCTATTGCTACTAATTTCATGATTTTTCAGTGAGCACTGTAGGCTGACCACTAACCTAATACATAACAGGGATATCATTAATTAGTTAGCAGAGAACTAAAATAGTAAAGAATGCTATTTTATTGCTTTAAAATATAACAGACAACAAAATGGCAATGATACTTTTGGAAGTATAGAGTTTTCAGAAATACCAACATCCCTATACAAGAACTGAATGTTCTTGTACTCATGCTAGCATCACCTGTGTTTGAAGATAACTACATTCAACACATTTCTGATGCTACAGATATCACAGTAAATTATACTAAGAAATGAGAGAAACATTTATAAATGCATTTCTGCAAAAATTAACTCAGAATCAACTTTATTTATAGATCACACCTTTTTTTGCTAAAAATGCATAGTCATTACATATACAGTAGTCAGCATCCAAAAGTGTACAAAGAGTAAATTTTCAAACCCTCCCAATAGAACCACACAAAATTCACACTTTTTGTTCATTGCATGCACAGCCCCTTAAACATGATACCTCCTACTAAAGCGTGCTTGAACCTCTAGCAGACAGAATTGACTTTCTAGAAACTGTTTCTCTGTACTATTAACCCCCAACTACAACCACAAATCCTAAGGCGTTCCCATGAAATAGCAAAGCCCTACTTCAGAATCCTCCATGTTCTGAGTATGGCCCAGGAAGCAATTGCCCTGAAAGCAGAAGTCTGCTGGTGGTGTTTCCTTACAGGCAACTTTAAGCAAAAGCGTGCTTCCTTCATCTTGGTCAATAATTTATTACTGAATTCAGTGGAATGAAGCAGCATCTGTCTAAGCAAGATGTGAAAATGATTTAACTTTATTCCACACCCAGCTCCAAGACACAAAGTGTCTTGAATGGAGGTCTGTGTCTTTCAGTGCATGTGACACTACCATCTTGTATCTCATCTGAGGAGAAGAGAGTAAAGTCTCAGCTGTAACTTGGTTGTCGGTTATATAGCCCTGACTCAGAGGTGTCTAACAGAAGCTAGGAATATACTTGGATATTGGGAGAATTTCTAAAGGTACAGGCCTTGACTAACAGACCACTCAAACTCTTTGATTTTTTTTTTTGTTTTTTTCCCCTCAGCTACTGCTGCCAGTTAGAAAAACTCTTAAAAACATGATCCTCTTCTCAGCGGTGCATTTTATGTCAGCCCTTCCAGTTGATGGGCAGAGTGGGTGAGTAGGGTGATTATTCAGGGCCCCTCATATATGACAGAGTACATATGGTCAAAAGATCCAAGTTCAGATTTCACTCAACCATAGGATTAACTCCATGTTGTTGGTTTTGCAGAACAGGAGGGAAAAAGAGAAAGTTGTTTGATCAATATAATTTTATATTCTCAATTGATTACATTTTTTTTTTTTTCTTAAAAGCTTCATTTATTTCAGGTCTTTTTACTCTGGTAAGAAGCAATTTGACGTAGTTGAAAATTCCCAATGGCAACTGAGACATAATCAGTCTTATAGACACTGATGGGAAATCCTGCTCCACTGTTTCATAGTAACTGGAACACAATCCATGGCTAAATGAACAAGGAGGCCTCGTGGGTGTTACAATGCTCCTCAGTACAAGTTACCAGTGAGAATTTCTGAAGAAAAGCGTATGTAAGTCATGCATGGTTTCTCTTTACTCCTGACCCTTAAGCATTTAGTCATCCTGTTTAACACTGTCTGGGTCTTGATTGCCCCCCACTTGAAGCCAGTGGAAATTTTGCCATAAGCTCCAAAAGACACAGGATGTGAACATCCTAGGAGTATGGCAATGACAAGGGTTTGTCCCAAGAGTTCACAATCTGGAAATGTTCATTTTTCCTCTCCCTACGAGATGAGGAAAAATATAACTTTCTCTCTGCTGGAGTTCAGTAATATCTCTTCTTAGCACCTGGGAGGGTCTTTGCATTTTTAATTGCTTTACAAACATTTGCTAGTCTTCAGAGCAACCCTGCGAGGTAGGTAAGGTGTATTCTCCCCATCTTACAGATGTGGAAACTGAGACACAAAGGGTCAAATTCAACCCTGGTACAATTCCAGTGTTTCACATGAATTAAAATTCATTAAAAATGAACACAGTTTAAACAATTTGCCCTAGATTACAGAACAGGTAGTGGCAAAGCAAGGATAAGAACCCAGGAGTGCCTGGCTCCTCGGCTTGTTCATTTTTACTCTCATGGGCAATGAAAAACAGTTTAATCTGGGCAATTACTACAGGTATGACTTGCTTCTGTAAGGCATGTGGATGGTAATCAACTGAGTTTAGTGCAATAATGCTCTGTGAATGTGCTGCCTCAGAGACTTTACTTAAACATGAAGTAAAACTTTCATACTGTCATTTTCTGCAAGTGCACTGTTGACAAAAACCTGACAAAGTAGCTGGATTCAGCAAATAAATAATAAGCAAAACACTTGGACAAGTATGCAGAACAATCATTTTAGCAAAAAAACCCAACATATTTCTGCTTTCAACTGCTACATTTCTATAAGTGCAGCATGCAGATGAAACCTTTCCCTTTGTTTCTAGACTGTAGATTCCAGTCTTGCTAATGTAGCTGCTCAGAGCTTCACAGATAACTTGGATAGCAACATTCAAATTAATACACTGCAGAAGAAATACTGTATCACCACAGAAAACAGGGTAAAGATTACACACTCTGGGAAGTTGCCCCAGGAACAGTCACTTCACATCAGCACAGGTGTGTCAGTCTGGAGGTCAGTGCTGGCCAAACACAGAAAGACACCCAGGCATTTAGAGGCCACCCTCTGTGCTCCAGTCCCCACCTTGGCTCCCATCCCCCTACAGATTCTACTACAAAAGGTCTGAAAAGCCTTTTTGGTTTTAAACATGAGCTGTGGAATCCACAGTGTAGACCTTATGGCAGGTTATAAAAACATTATGACAGGTACTTCTGCAAGCAAGTTATTATGACAGGTACTTCTGCAAGCAAGTTAGTTTTCTAAGATTTCCTTATGCATCTAGTCTGCAGGTTGGACCTCCTGTCGAGCTTTGGATATGCTTACACATATTCTTCAGACATGTGCTTTCACAGCAGAAGTTATCCTGCACCCCTACAAGTTACACAAATGCTGACTCACTTCTATGTGAGCAAATTCAAGCACTATATTTATAGATATCTTGTTCCAGTTTAAATCTTTTTATCTCAGATTTGTTCTGTCCATCAGACACAGCAAATGGAACAATTATCTACATACATGCCCTTCACTGAATAGACACAGACACTCAGGCAACATTTCCCTAGATAGTCTCCACAATTACTGTACCTTTTTAATTTGTAATCACATTTTTTTAAACAAAAACCAGACAAACAAAAATCCACTAATTAGAACTCTCAAACTCTAATCACATCTCTCTGTAGCCATTCACTCTGGATTCAGCAGTCTGCTTACAGTGGCTCAGACAGCAGTGCTTGCAACCAGCTTTTACAAATAATTCCATGAGGTGCTCAAGCCCATACACGTGCCCGAACAATTTGCCAACAGAAACTTCTGAATGAATCAATATTCTTAATATCAGAGCCAGTGGGACTGGGGCTCACAGACAACTCTTGAACAGCAGTAAGATTCCAGTAAAATTGCAGTTGGTCGCAATCCAGACTTTACACTGTTATCTGTCGTTGAGATATATATAGATGACCCTGTGTGGCCTAACTCCAAATATCAAATGTATTTTTACAAGTTAGCAACAGCCATTTCTGACATTGCCTCTTGAGATGTCCTCTACATTGTGACTGACAAGCACAAATATAATCCATTATACTGTATGCTTTAAAAGCCTGGTCTTTTACATTTGGCTTTTACTGTTTGTTTCTGAGCTGCCTTCTACTCCTGATGTTTGCTGTGCCTGGCCTTTCTGATTTATTTCTTAGTTTTTAATTGCAGGTTGCATGTGCTAGTGCCATCTCCCAGGCAAACTCTTCCTACATAATTAGTTTGGATGAGTCATTGGGCTCTAACTACTATGCCTCAATTATTTTAACTTGAATACAGTCTATCTCAAAGATTTTTAGCCTCTTTTTACAGTTGTGGAAATTCATAGCATGACATCGTTACAGGTCTTGATCCACTGGCTTTCTGTTGTGAGTTTTCACAATATTAAAGCACGTTTCAAGGAAAAATAATGTTGTGAACCAGCCTCCTCTCCCACTGGTGCAGATCATTTTCTGCTTTGTTGGCAGCTGAAGAAAGCAATGCTACTTTTATGACAAAAATTAGTGAAAATAGGTAAAATTTTAAATATTTCATATAGTTTCTATTTTCTTTTAATGCAGGTTGGCAAATGAAAACTGAACACAGCCACTCACACAGGGTTATGCAGTTTTTTATGGCCCAACAACAACTAAAGAGGCCACAATTTGGACATGCTACTAAGTGTAATTTTCTTTTAGCTTATGCACTTCCACTAAGAAATGTACATAAAGCTGTTACATTGGTAGAGGGCATATCAGTTATTGGGTCTGTGATGACTCTGACCCATGTTAAGGATTTGACTTCATAAACCCTGGCTACAGTACTTCCTATATTCCCATTTTAAACAAAGGGGACTTTGTCTCACAGAAGATTAGGACTGGACTCAAAACATTGTCTTGGGATTCATATACCACATCCGTGAAAATGGCAAAGACCCAATCAGAAATAAACTTCTCCAATAGGAGCTGAGTAAAACAGCTACTACACTATTAATGCAGTTTGACACAAGGGTTTCCTAAGGAAGTACCACCCTGCTTTTGACAATGGGTTACACAAGTTGTTTCTCACCTGAACCTCAATTTGTAAACCCCTTGTGTAATATTATTGCACTTGTTCTGTCAGACTAAAGCAAAATGCATCTGCTTAAAATCTGCATATGGTTCACAAACATGTATCTAGAGAGTAAATTCAATCTATACTTAGCTCTTCACTGTGTGACAAGGATAATACCTGGGTTGCTCTGAAAAGATACTGCTTTGGAAAATACCTCCTAATTCTTGTCTTTGAACTCCCCCAAAGCTTTTGAAAGAGGACTTCAACACATCCAGCTGTAGCTACAACTAATCAGAACAGGAAAAAGTGGGGAATGATGAAAAAGTGCCATTATCCAGTACTTGTAGAGCCAGATTTCAGGTGCTGAACTCAGATTCAGAAGTATCTTATTCTGCAACTAATATGAGGATGGTAAATCTGGCAGTGCTCTAATTAAAGAGCAGTAGAAACTAGTTCCATGTCGTTTTTTTAAAGATCCAGAATGAGATCTCATGCATCAGTTACTCTCTTTACATCCACAGAACTCCCACCAAGCTTGGCAGGGGTTTATAGAAAGTCTGGCATCTGACTTTGACTCCAGAGGACTGATTTGGGGGTGATTTACCCAGATAGACAAAGGGGCCCCTTAGCAACTCCCTTAGCACAACAGATGTTCCTGACATACTGAGGGAAGAGCCATTCCATTATGCAGTGTCCTTCTTCTTCCTCTGCCCCCTTTCCAAACCAATTTGACCCCTTTCTGGTTTGGTTATTTTACATAGCCTTCTATATTATTTTAGTATCCGAGTGGCTACACCAACCACTCACTGTCTGTCTAATTAAAGTCTCTCCATCAACTGGTAATTCTGTAAAAATTCACAGCTGTTTTTCCTCTCTCTCTTAAATCTATTGTTCCCTGGCTGAAAAGGCTGCAAGACCTTAGAAACTATAGCTATTGATTTGTTTGCATTTAAAATCCAGTATGTGGCCGCAAAGGCCTGTTACAATATCAGAGAGGAAGATATATGTCAGTGCATAATCTGCTAGGAAATTTCACATAGGAGTTGGTTAAAAGTCTATGAGAAATCATTGCACAAATGTCTTCAGGTGTATACATATATATACACATATATATAGCTAATAAATATATAGCTAGATATATAAATATATATGTATATACAGAACTAGTTTAGACCTAATTATTATGAAATTATTAAGTGGCATTCACCATTCATGCATTCTTCCTAGTAGCAGAGCTAAATTATTTCAGCTTATACTCTAAGCAGCAACATACCAGTAAGCATTTGCTTGCTTCCCCTGGTAACCTAGTAGTTTAAAGAGCACGAGCAGTTCTGCCATGGTCATTTTCTCCAGCAAACCTCCATGAAAGGGACCTGGCTCTTCCACAGGTGTGTTTTCCCCAGGTTTCACAGCTTCTTCAGGACATGGTGGGTCTGGTCTGAGGGTCACCAGTCTGAAGGTCATCGGCCCAAGGGTCTCCAGCCCAAGGGTCACTGGCATGGTGGTCGCTGTCTCGACAGTCGCCAGCCTGGTCAGTCCTGCTTGCAGAGATCTGCAACGTTGAGGAACCTCCTGACGACCACGGCAAGGCAGACGGTCAGGAGCAGCATATACCCCACGGTGCCCAGGTAGGTGGGGGCAGCCAGGGGTGCCTTGAGAAACTCAGCCAGCCCGTCCTCCACGTAGTGCACCTGGTCGTAGATGCTGAGGAAGGTGAAGATGTGGAAAAGCTGATGGCTATGCCCCACGATGTCGAAGAGCCCCGGCTGGATCCGCTCGGGGATTTTGCTGACGTTGAAGAAGGCGGCCACCAGCAGCCAGAAGTAGCGGCGGTAGAAGTAGACGAAGAGCGTGGGGTTGCGTGCGCGGAGGTCGAAGAGGAGGCTCTCCAGCATGATGGGGCAGGCCATGCTGAGCGGCATGGCGAACACGAAGGTGCGCACGGCGAAGGGGTAGGCGCAGCACGCGGCGCGGCTGCGGCAGCAGGCGGCCGTG